CCCCAAAACCCCAAAACCCCAAAACCCCAAAACCCCGCAAGATCAAATTAAAAGGAATAAAAAAGCAAAGTAATAATACGAAGTTTTGCAAAATTATTTAACAATTATATTTTCAATAATGGTAAATGTGCCTTGTTATAGTATGGGTTCTGCTCCTAGAAGTAATCAAATTTTTCATGTTTCCTTTTCATAATTATTAATTATAGTGAGAGAAGCTAAAACAACATCAAAAGAAACACCTGGACCTGGCCAGTATAAATAAGTGAATCTTATTCACAAGCTAAAAGCTCCTTAATGGGTGTAATAACTTAAAGATTAATTTGATGATGAAACTGAATAATTAATTTAGAATTGGATCTGAGAAAAGAGCCTCTCAAATGTCTCAAGCAAACCCAGGACCTGGTTAATACAATACTATTGCAAAGGTATTTGATTATTCAATTAATGAACTTCGATTAGGATAATGTTGGACCAAAATATCATATGGGTTTGAAGACTAATCATAGTATGAGTGTAACTAATCTCAATCCAGGTCCAGGAAACTACAATATAAGCAGATCTCTAGGATAAGTAGGGTATATTTTTGGCTTGAAGACCTAGCAATAAATGGGTACTCATGTTAGAAATCCAGGTCCTGGAGCATATTCACTAAGAGGTTCATTTAATCATATACCAGGAAGCAAGATTGGAACTTCGTAGAGAGATGATGACATTAAAAGAGCTAAGAGACTAGGAAGTCCAGGGCCAGGCACTTACAGATATGATAATACAATAGTCCATTCAGCTCTTCGATAAGATGCTCCAAAGTTTGGTTTTGGAACAGCTGATAGAGATAAAAATCCAGGAGTTGGAACTGTTGTTAGTCCAGGACCAGGTTCATATTAGCACAAGTAAATTATGGGGCATGATGGGCCTAAGAGATCAATGACATCTCGAAGACCAATGAGTGCAGACTCAAGAAATTCCCCTGGACCTGGATAGTACACACCTGCAAAAGAAAGTGTTGCAAAAGCAATGCCGAAATATTCTATCGGGCATGAATAAAGAGATACACTAGGTTTGAATCATATGAAGCATACTCCTGCTCCTAATCAATATATGGCATCGACCGCAACTCTTACAAGATAACCTTCATGGGTGATGGGAAGTTCTTAAAGAAATGGATTAGGAGGTGCAAATGGATCTCCAGGGCCAGGCAATTACAACATTCCTTCTAAAATGAAAGATGGACCAAAGGTATGCATTTTTTCCAAATTTAGATTATTTATAGTATGTTATGGGACTTAAAGGGAGAGATCTCGGAAAAGAAATGCTTTATGTTCCAGGACCAGGATAATATCATCCTGATTTTAGTACTCTGAAATAAAAGCATCCTACTTTTAAAATTGGATCAGAATAAAGAATTCCAGGCGACAAAACTACTATCAGATAAGTCCCAGGACCTGGAAACTACAGCCCATAAAAGAGACCATAAAGTGCAGCCCCAAAATACGGATTTGGTTCAAGTACAAGATAACAAATCAAACAGACCAAGGACTACACACCAGGGCCCGGAGCTTACAAAGTACCTGCCAGAATTTAAGATGTACCCTCTTATCTTCTACCTAACAGGTCTCAAGAATTCAAGTTTGTTTGAATTATTTACCTTTACTTCAATACTGATGATGATTAGTTTGTTTAAATTTTCCTATAATTTAATCACATCGAATATTCCAATTTTTAATCAAACTTGAATTATTAGTAGATGACATAATTTTTATAATCATATCTTTCGTTTACAAAATTTAATGGTAGAATCACGCAGACAATACTTCGTCGGAGGAAATTGGAAATGTAATGGAACTCTTGCTTTTGCAAAAGAACTTATTGAAGGAACTCTTAACCAAGTTGAGTTTAACCATGATAGAGTCCGTAAGACAAATTATTCCTTTACTAAACAAAAATGTAGATGTTGTCGTTGCTCCAGCCAGTGTTCATCTTACCTCAGTTAAATCTCTACTCACCCCTCTCATCTCAGTTGCTGCTCAAAATTGTGGAGCTCAAGGAAATGGAGCTTTCACTGGAGAAGTCTCAGCTGATATCTTAGTCGATTTAGGACTTCAATGGGTTATTCTCGGTCACAGTGAAAGAAGATCACTTTACAATGAATCAAGTGAGGTTGTTGCCAAGAAGACCAAGTACGCACTCTCCAAAGGTCTAAATGTTATCCTCTGTATTGGTGAGAAACTAGACGAGAGAGAAGCTGGTACTACTAATGATGTTCTTAAGGCTTAACTCGATGCTTGCAAAGATTCAATAGAAAATTGGGGTAAAGTTGTAGTTGCATATGAGCCAGTTTGGGCCATCGGCACAGGTAAAGTTGCATCCCCAGAGCAAGCTCAGGAAACTCAAGCCTATGTAAGATCATGGCTTAGAGATTCTGTTTCAGAGGAAGTGGCTAACAATACCAGAATAATCTATGGAGGTTCAGTCACCGAGACTAATTGTGCTGAATTAATTTAATAATAGGATGTTGATGGATTCCTAGTTGGAGGTGCCTCTCTAAAACCAGGATTCGCTGACATTATTAAGGCAGTTAGCTCAGCTCAATGATGATTCAATTATGATATAATCAATTTACTAAATTATTGATCATGAATCACTTTGAAGACATGGGGTTTTGGGGTTTTGGGGTTTTGGGGTTTTGGGG